TGCCCACTTGAGTGATCTCATACTACTTAACGGCTTAGTATCAGGTGGGATACATCCTTTCTAGTCACTTTACTCAAGCATAATGCAAAAAAATGTCTTACATTCATAATACATGGAGACTAATTTGATTTTTATGCTTTTAAAACCCAATCTTTTAAAATGCATAAGTGATCAGTGATGAGATTGTATCTGCATGTGTTTAGGCGGTGTAGTCAGTTTCTGGCATATCTTCAGGAGTTGCTATGGTATTGACGTGAGTGTCAACCAATGCCAAATGAGTTTCAAATAAACGGGCCATATGGAGAGAGCTGAAAGAAAGTGAATAGTTTCACACTTATGTACACTATGGCATCTGGTTTCCTTAAAGCATAAACACATGCCTCATTATTAAACATTAGAAGCATTAGGCCAGAAGGGCACATGCCATTTTAATCATACATGACGCAAATGAACGACTAAACTCATTTGAGCAGTGCACATTTAAATAATCACATTGGGTATTGACTATCTGCAGAGAAAAATCACAAACACTCTGTCAAAAAAATAATAATTGTTAACTAAAACTAAATATATATATATATATATATATATATATATATATATATTAATTGAAATAAAGCTGAAATATAAATATTAGATGAACATTTTAACGTGTACATTTGCGAATTAGGACAACTGTAAATTACAAATGTTGCTTTGGCAACTAACTGAAAAAAAGTTTAAGCTGAAGTACTAATATTACTAGAACTAAAATAAAAATAAACTAAAAATAAAGCCAAATAAACTTTAAAAAAACAAAAACTAATAAAAAAAAATTACAAAAGTAAAATGAATTAATATTAATATTAAAATAACACTGATCATAATAGGAACACAGAATGTTCTAGCAAACATGCTATTGTTCCATAATGCATCTGCATTCTTTAAGTATACATACAATTAAAAATAATATTTTTAATTTGCTTAGCAGATGTCTTTGTCTAAATCCCAATCCAGCAATTTAGAATGTAACTTTTTTTGTTTTTGTTTAAAACAGAATGTATTATGAAGTAAATATGTATGTACTTAATTATGCAACATAAAGCAGAATTCAAACAGTTAAACCTTACAGCCTCAAGGTTAAAACATTTACTATATAAGAGAATCCAGAGGGACTCTAGATAATGATATCATATTAATCATACATCTATCATTCTAATGACCTCAATGATAGAAATCATACTACTATTTTTATGGTTCTGGTTTTATAAGGAACTGAGAGGAGAGTACACCGCTGGGGTTAATGAAAAGAACACCTCCCACAAATGCACTGTTGCCTGAACCGATTTTCAAGATGGCTCATTGATCTTGACAGTACTGTGATGTCATCTAGATGTATCCATGGAGATTGAAAACAGCTCCCTCATTCAGAACACTGTAATGTTCTGGAATCTGGCCCTGAACTTTAATGACAGAGAAAGTGGGGGGGAAAGACCCTCTGAGCAAGTGCAGATTATTTTTGGGTCTGGATGAATGCAGTCATATAAATGTAGTACCTTAGAGACACTTGATCAAATGATAATTGAATTGTTATGTACAAGTTTCTTCAATAAAACATAACAAGCGAGCGATAAGAGGGTGACCACAGAGCAAAGTCACATTATATGCTGATTTCCAATACGATTCTGATGTCAGCTAAAAATTATGACTTTCATTGAAAAGGGATTTTAAATTTCCTGTTTTCTGTGTGCATAATTACGGGGTGATATTTGTTTAATGCCTTAAGTCTCAGAGGTATGATCTCATTTCATCAGGGGGTTTGCCAAAGAACAATTTTTGGCAACAAAAAGTCAAGAGAGACCCTTAAATACAGTAAATTACAGCACTAAACATCTTCCATGAAATGAATGGCACAGTTCAGAGCAAGTCAACAGTTCCTTCATCCAACTTCAAACAGAGCAAAACATAACATAACAGGCATTATGCAATTTAGAATTGTGAAACATTTCCTTCTTCTTTCCTCTTCTTAAAGAGACAGTTCATCCAAGAATGTAAATTATGTCATTATTTACTCATAAAGTTCCAAATCCATACGCTATTATTTTTTCCATTCAACCCAAAAGTAGAATGTTCTGAAGAATTGTTCTGCATTTTTTGCCTTATAACAACCAAGGGCTGTTAAGCTCAAAAAAGGACAAAAGTAACATTAAAGACCACACTGTAAAACCGAACAGTGAAATGAATGAAATGAAATGAGTTAATTTCACTCAAATGATAATGAAAGTTCATTGGACTCAAAATTTCTTTGTAGTAAGCTGAACTTAAAATTAAGCATGCTTTGCATCAGACTGCATAAGGAAAAGAAATGTTGAAATGAAGTGTTATTTTGTGTTTTGGCACAAGATTAACATGGGAAGACATACGTTAGTATTTAATGTTGTGTTATGTTAGGATTTACAGAGGTTTCTGTTATGGTTACCATTGTGGTGAAGAGTAGAGCCTGTGGTTATAGGTTGAGGATGGACTGCAAAACTTTAAGACTGTGTATACTGCATGTTGCTTGACTATTTACATTCAAGTGTATAGTGATAGCTTTTTTGATAGTTACATTACTATGTGCTAGTGTGCTATTGCTAACAAGCACTGACATTTTAAACACTGAATATTTGAGTTCATGTGATGTTTATGTAAACAAGCTGTATGTAATTAACATTGTGATGAGTGGGGTGGGATTGAGAGCCATGGAAGCAAGGCCGGTGTCGTGCGTGTTAATGAGAGACACCTGTGCATCACACTGGCCTGGCTTGGCTCCCATGGCTCTCAAACCCGCCCCACTCATCACAAACATTTTAAGCTCTGCTAACTTAAAAAAAAAAGAGTTAGTTTACTCAAATCTTTTGAGATAAGTTTCTTCAAATGTTTTGATTATTCTCAACATATCAGGTTTTACAGAGCATTAAAGACAATTAGATAGACTTGTGGGAGAAACAGTGTTATTTTATTATTAATTATATACTATTATAGTATTTATTCATATTTCGAATGAGCTTTGTTATATTTTCAGTTTTCATTTTAATTTTAAAGTGCCCCTATTATGCCATTTTATGCCTTTCCTAATATTGTTTTGGGAAGTCTCCTAAAGGTTTACATGCATGCAAGTTCAAAAATGCTTTCATTTTCTCAAAATATGCATTTAATATCACCTCATTTTCCAATGAATCTCAAATGATTTCTTTAAAGCAGTTTTAAGATTTAGTCTCTCTAAAACCCTCCTTTCTTTGAGCCAACTCTGCTCTGATTGGTAACGATACGCCCATTGCCATAGTTCCGTATTTTGAACGCTCAATAGAAAATATAAACATCAATTATTATTCATACTTACAGGCTGAGATTCAGTGGAGCCAGCTGGTCCAAATAAACAGGGTACTAAGCCATCTTTCAAATATAAGCGTTTTGTGAATCCCGCATTAAACTCCCCGAGATTAGAGAAGCAGTTGTCAGTAAAATGACGTGTTTGTGGGCGGAGTCAAGTTGTTTGCGGCCGGCTAACATAGAATATAGGTGGGAATTATGCAAATGTGTTATCCCATAGATGTCACGGAAGTGGGATTAGAATTACTAACGACTCGTTTAGGTTGTACATTCAATTCTTTATTTTGGGAGACAATAACTTTATTTATCATGCACTTTCGGCTTTACAACTTTGCAGATCGTTTACATTCACACACAGCTACATTACATATAGTAATTTCCTTATTTCTATTTAGTTTTAATTAATTTTTATAAATTTAGTTTTAGTTTTAGTAATTTTATCAATTCAACAAACTTATTTTAAGTAATTTTCCACGGCAACATTTCTATTTATTTATTTTTTTAGTTTTACATCTAATATTTATATTTTATTTAATTTTAGCTTAATTTCAAATAACGAAAACAATTTTACACTTAAGTTGATATTCACTGATAATCTTCACACAACAAGCTTGTGTCTTGGCTATGTTCAGAATTGAAAATGAAAAATTGTTTGTCACATTGTTTGTGTACAATAACCTTTTTTTTATTCTGGATGCGAGCGGAAGGCACATTTATTTGTGAATAATGACATGACTTAAATAATGACATTACAGATTTTTTTTTCTTTTATGGACATTATGGACGCACTCGGGGCCTTTCTTTTATTGGTAATGCCAAAAGAAAAGAGTTGGTCTCCATCAGTGACATGTATTGTTTTTGAATGAATGCCAGACCTTGTGTTGCAAGGAAAGGCACAGAGTCCATCCATCATTTAGGTGTGACACCGTATCATATGACACTGACAGTATGTTATAGCGGGTAAGAACATCTCTGAAGACCTTCTATAAGACAGGCCGGATGCTAACTTGACCCCTTCTCCTCACACGGTAAAGCCCAACAGATGGTTCGTTTTACAAGCTCAATTTATATCTATTTGTCAAGAGTGAAGAAGGAGAAATTTGGTAGCATTCCTTGTTTATGTGAGGAGACCTTCCCTCCTGATCTGTTCCCTGTCATACAAAAGCCTGACTACTGAGAAGCATGAATTTAGTCAAAGCCTTCAACAACAAGTCAATTCAGCATAAACAAGCAAGATTTACTCTCAATCTTTCTTGTCACTATGTAAACTACATTGTTTTAGAAAGAACTGTTCAGCTCAGATTTGCGTGGCTGCTTATCTCCCCTTTCCAAAGTGTCTCCACCACTGAGAGTTCAAGCAAAGGTGCTTTTAAATAGTCAAATTCAACTGGCCTGACCCAGAGTTGACCCAAACCCTCTCCAGAATCCTTACAGCCCATGGCATGAACCTCCTGCTGGGAAGCGGTCATTTGTGCATCGAGTGGAGAAAAAACCTCTGTTCTCAGTTGGAGAACTGTGTACCATTCTCTTAATCCAGGCTGGAGCAGTTTTGAGATGAGAATAAAACCCTCCACGTCCCCCTGACAGCTCACCCCACAGACCCTGTGGGCTGAAGGACAGACAAATGTTCTTTCTCTATCTACCTCCATCTGCTGGTGCCTGCATGCATGCTGAAAACACACAAGCATGTCATGTTTCAAGGAAGCATTATAGAACATCAATGCATGAA